GTACGTCATATTTATTAGGTCAAAAACTTACTCCATAGCATATTTTAATCTTGTAAATCCCATACGTTAAAGGGCATCATTATTCAAAATTGTCCCCATGTTCTTCAATTATCTAAAGCATGGTCAATATCCAAATGTCCTTCCTCTCCCTTTTGGGAATGGATCATCTTTCGCCTCACGATGAACCAAATCGACAAGTTCTTGAACTGACAAATCTTCTTCAAGTCTTCCATCCTTCCTCAAGAGGGTTTTTAGCTGTTTTATTAAGGCGTTCGCCCAGCAGATATCTGTCATGTTTTTGTCACGCTGCAAAACATTAAAAACAACAACGTATATTCGCCATCTTATCAATATAAATTAGCTGAATAACAAAAAGAAAAAAGAATATAAATTACAACTTACCAATTAAGTGCCAAACCGTAACACTATATGCCGGAATGACAACCCCTTGCGCCGATCCAAACGCAATATCTGAAAGTACATGTGCATAGCCAACCTCCAAAATACCTTATTATTTTCACAAGTGAGTTCATTTAAATTCTTTAATATAACATGGATTGTAGAAAAGTTTAGAAATTATGATATGAAAATAAATATCTCTAATATCGATTGATTAATATCTTTATAAATTAATATATTTTAAAAATCTTAGTATATGGTATTGAACGTGGGATTATAAGAGAACGTGGAAAAAAAAAAGATTTCTATCAAAATCTCACAAAAAATGGTAGGAATTGGCTCTTCACATTTTTGCACTAGAATTCTATTAAATTCTTTTGCAATCTAAAAGAATAAAAGTTGCAGAAAATTTGAAGAACACATGAATTTAAAAAACATGAAGATTTTAATCAATTGAATAACTAGAATTGTATGGAATTTCAAATTCTTTCGAATTCAATTAAATTCTATAATCGAATACCAACTCCTTAACATTATTAATTTATAAGTTTTTGTTGTATATAACTATTAAAATTTTGATTAATTAGTCAGCTAAAAAAAACTGATGGCTTACTTCCCCATCTAATATCACTTAGTCATATAGCTTGTTTATGATCAAACTCTTATATCTGTGAAAGATTAAGACATAGTTTGACCAACGTCTAATTCAGAGAAAAAAATGGGAATTTTGTTTTTGACTAAAACATGTATCATAACTTGAATATAAACTCATATAATCTATCACTCAGATTTAGTACAATGTATTCATTGCCACATAACACATAAGATAATTCTTCCACTTGTACAGTTCTACACGTAACACATATTGTAGACTTTGTAGTAGTTACTTTAGCTTTTATCCCAAATAAAAAAAATATATATATTCACGTCTTAG